CGCGGTAAACTGGCATCCAGGATCCGCGGAGTGGGATGGCAGTCGGAGGCTGGGCGGCAATCTGTCGCTCAGCGCCCGCCTGTCTCCGTGAACTCGTCAACCCCTGTGTCTGGGGCCGATGTCCCGCTGCTGGGGCGTGCGGTCTGGCATACGGGGGGGGGGCGAGGGAGTGGAGGCAGGAGGGAAAAGGGTAAGTTCCCTCGCGGTTGGGTCGGACGTAGTCCGGCCCCTCCGGGAGGGGGCGGGGCCCCGGGTACACGTCGGGTCTGAGACCCGCGTCGCCCGGTTGGCCCGGCATGGACGGGGGATCGGGGCCGCTCGGACGTTTCCGAGGCAGGGTCCGGTCTCCCGGAGGACCCTGGGGGCCGCTGGGACGTATTCCCAGGCAGGGCCTCGGGGTCCGTGGGGTTGGCTGGCAAGCCTGCCGGCCAACACCCGGTCCTCCGCGACGAAGCGGTCAGTCCCTGCGTCTGGGGCCGACGTCCCGCTGCTGGGGCGTGCGGCCTGGCGTATGGGGATGGTCGTGGAGGGCGGAGGATCGGTAGTGTGCGTGCGTGTGTACATGGGTCGCGGTCGGCTGCTGGTGGATATTTCCCGGAGACTAACCAAGGGGGGAGTAGTAAACCCCCCCGACCGGGGACGGGCGGTGACGTCTGTACCTGACTTCTGCCGTGGACTATGTGGGTGTGTAAGTCCGGAGTATTCCGGCAAAAACCACAGGAAGCGGCAAGTTCAACGTGGGAAAACCGCTCCCGTTCGTCCGTCTGGAGCCTAGCCGGGAGTTGAAGCCAGTGTGCCGGGCGCGTGTGTGGAGGGGCTGCATAGCCAGCAGACCCCTCATACCCGTGCGAGGGGGGAGAGCTCACTCGCAAGCTCTAGCCTGGGGGCAGAGTATGCGGCCGGTCGGTACGGTGCGCGCTCTGCTCCTAGGGTGAGGATAAACCTGTTGCATCTTGGTGGACCTGGCCCTCTCCAGGATCCTTTTACTTAGAGTGATAGGGTGGGATAGGGGTGGCTCCCCGACAAGCAGCTTCTCTGCTTCCCACCATGTAATTAGGGTTTCACTTTCCCGGGGAAGATCCCTCACTGCGGTGAGGGTGTCATGATGACCGAACCGGAGGAACAAATCTCTGCCATATAATGAAGAATAAAACCCAAAACAAGGATGCAAGGAAACAGGAGGAAGACGGCTCCAGAGGACGCGGCAACGCTCCCGCGCTCGACTGGAGCAATCCAAAAACGCGAGAGGAGGCGGAAAAAATGGCCGCCGACACGATCAGAGCTCGAGAAGAGGCGGAGATGACCGCCGTTGTCGAGCTGGAAAAGGGAGGAACCAACCCCCCGACTACCTCGACAGTACAAGGTAAGGCAGGCCCAGCTAGCTTCAAGTTTGGCCTGAAGAAGAACCCGCCTCCGACGCCGGAGATCGAGGAGTTGAACGGCTCCGACACGGAGACAGAAGACACTCGCACGCTTAGGACGAAGACGGCTGAATCGTTTCCGGCAATAGAGTATGACTCCGATATGGAGATGCTCGATGTCGAGACCGGTGAAGAGGAGCCGAGGAATCCCCGAGGTCGCCCCCCGACCGTCGGGAAATACCTCATGATGCGGCAAAGATTGGCCGCATCGAAGGAGGTAAAACTCCTGAAAAAAGAAGCCAGGTATCTGAAGGATGTCCTGGACAGGCGTGTCCTTCCCAATCTGAGGAATAGGAGAAATATCACGCCCGAGCATGTGATGGCCCGCCAGATGGAGTCAATGACACCATTACAGATCTCGGCGGAGATGACCTGCCAAGCAGATGCGGTCATCAAAGTGGCGGACACGTCCAAGAATTTGAAGGGGACATATGTCCATCAACTACTCAAGCCACCACAATCAGGGCAGGGACGAAAGTCCTGACTGAAAAGGCGGCAACCCCTGATGAAGGGGACGACCCCACGGAAGTGGGAAATCTAAGGCGTCGAGTGAGGGAACTGGAGGAGCAGGTGCTTCAGTTAGAAACCCTGCTCCAACAGAAGCCGCAGCCAGAGGGGGCGGCGGCGACGAGGAAGCGAAAGATCCAGAGGCTGGCAGAGTCCTCTGAAGAGGAGGAAGACGTTCCGCGACCGGATACAACACCGTTACCGGAGGACACGGAGCGCATGAACACCATGGAGGACGAGGGAACGGAGGAGGACCGCGAGCAGCACACCGTGGCTCTCAGGCCAACGCTACGCGGCAAGAAAAAGGAGCTGAAGGGAGCCCCAGCGAACAGAGCCCTCGAAGGCGTCAAGAGGGTTCTCAAAGGCGTCTCCGTCGAGAGGATCCTGATGGGAGATGAAAAAACCGTTAGGGAGAACATCAGCAACCTGGTGACGAGGTGTGAAGGCGCAATGGCGATCCTCCCTCCAGTAGGAGGAGATACAGCCATCGCCAAGCAGACGAAGGCAACCCCAAGTAGCCAGCAGGTGAAAGGGGCTGCGAAGAAAATAGAGGCGAAGGGCCAAGCAGCCAAGTGTGCCCAACCCAAAGCGACCAAGGCGCCAACGACTGTCAAGGCAGCGGGGAAACTTCAGAAACCCCAGGCCAAGGCGGGTGGAGAGGGTCGGCCGGTAAAGGCAAAGACCCTAAGCCAACCGCCGGCCGAAAGAGCAAGAGAGGAGACCCGGGGCAATACGGGACCGAGATCTAGATCAAAGTCCCAAGGAACCTGGGTGGAGGTAACAAAAAAGGGCCTCAGGAAAAAGAACGACGCGGGACCGAAAGAGCCTGCGGCTAGGGGTAACGCGACTGCCCCGGAGAAGAAGAAGGCACCCAACAAAGCGGGAGGCCAGCGGGGCCTGAGGACGCAGGCCGTCACGTTGACCTGCCCGCCGGGAACCTACGCCGAGGGAATGCGAATTATTCGGTCGCGCATCAACCTCGAGGAGCTGGGGATCGACTCGCTCAGACCGAGGAGGGCCCAGACGGGGGCGATCATATTAGAAGTGTCCGGAGAGAACGCAAAGGAGAAGGCGGACGGCCTGGCGGAAAGGATGAGGGAGGTCGTCGGAGATAGGGAAGGAGTCAGGGTCACGCGACCTGCGAGGATGGCGGAAATTCGCATCCGCGATCTTGACGACTCGATCACGGTGGAAGATGTGAGGGAGGCAGTGGCTGAGGCGGGAGGTTGTGCAACCTCAGACGTCAAGGCCGGCGAGGTGAAACTCGCCCCCAATGGTCTAGGGACCATTTGGGTCCAGTGCCCGTTGGCGTCAGCCAAAAAGGCTGTCGCCACGGGTAGGATAAAAATAGGATGGGTGAGAGCGAGGTTGGAGATGCTTGAAGCCAGGCCCCTGATATGTTACAGGTGCCTGGAGAGAGGCCCCGTCAGGGTCCAGTGCCGAAGCAAGACGGACCGGAGTGAGGTCTGCTGCAGGTGCGGGGCAACCGGGCACAAGGCCCAAGCGTGCAGCGCCGAGCCGAAGTGCCCGGTCTGCACAGAAAAAGGTCTACCGGCTAATCATAAGGCCGGGAACAAGGCCTGCCCGCTGCCTTCGAAGAAGGCCATGAAGAAGAGGAGACGGGAGGAAGGACGACAGCAGACGGAGCCGCAGACCCCGCGGAACCAGGCTGGAGGCCAACCCGCGAACTCAGACGCGATGGAGGTGGACGCCCCCACCACGGACACCACTGCCCCCCGGGTGCAGAGGCAGCCCAGGACGCGGGCTAGCACAAAACGAGAGGAAGAGGGCCAGGAGGAGGCCAGCGCGGCATCGCCTTCATGCCAGTAAGGATAATACAGGCGAACATAAACCACGCCCGCCAGGCTCAAGATTTATTATTGCAAGCCATGGCGGAGCGTGGTGCGGGCTTAGCCATAGTGGCAGAGCCATGGAGAGTCCCGGATCGCCACCCATGCTGGGCGGTAAACAGGGAAAGGTCGGCAGCGATATACTGGCGGCGAACGACGGAGCGGCACGTACCGTGCAACATGAAGGGCGAGGGACCGGGCTGGGTCATGGTGGAGTGGGGCCCCCTGCTTGTAGTAGGGGTCTACTTTAGGCCCAGCCTGTCCCGAGCCGAATTAGAAGAAAGATTGGAAGACCTGGGAACACAGATCCGGGCGTCCCTGCCGAGGCCAATGCTGGTCGCCGGGGACTTCAACGCCAAATCGGCGCTCTGGGGTTCCCGGCGGCCGGATTGCAAGGGCGCGGAGGTGGAGGCATGGGCGGACCGCCTGGGCCTCCACCTCATGAATACGGGCTCAACGAGCACGTGCGTCAGACCGCAGGGAGAGTCGGTGGTCGACATTACTTGGATCTCCCCGGCGGCGGCGAGGCTTGTCACGGCGTGGAGGGTGGCGGAGGAGGTGGACCTCCTCACCGACCACCTCCCGCTGGAAATGGAGGTCCAGCTGGCTCCCTTGCGGAGAGACGGATCTGAAGATGGGAGGCCGCTCAGATGGGCCATTAAGAGGCTGGATCCTGATAAATTGCAGGCGTCCCTGGCAGTAGAGACGTGGGCCCCGAGGGCACCGTTGACGCAGGAGGGAGAGATAGAGGAGGAAGCCAAGTGGCTAAGGAGAACAATGACGCAGGCATGCGACTGCGCGATGCCAAGGGCGACCTTCTCCCCTCGAAGGTCCACATACTGGTGGACCGAGGACATAGGGGACCTCCGTAGGGAGGTGATACGCGCGAGGAGAAGAGTACAGCGTGAGCGAAGAAGATCGGCTGTGGACCAGCGAACGCTGGATACCCTTCTTGAAGCGTGGAAGGAAAATAGGTCCCAGCTGAAAAAGGCAATCATGGCGGCGAAGGAGAGGGCCTGGGAAGAGGCCATCAGCAGCCTGGAGGAAGATCCTTGGGGGCGCCCTTACAAACTGGTCCTAGACAGACTCAGTAAGGGTGCTTCCCCAACGGTCGAAACGTTAGAGCTGGATTTTCTAGAAGACGTGGTCCGCACGTTGTTCCCAGCAGCGGGGCGCAACGGTCCGGCGACAATGCTAGAGGAAGACACTCCGGCCAACGACGAGGAGGCCGAGGAGGAGGAGGGATGGCGAGAAGACCTGGGAGTCTAGGGCCAGGAAATCGCCAAAGCGGCCAAGAAGCTGAAGGCCGGGAAAGCCCCTGGCCCAGACGGGATCCCAGGGGTCGCGTGGCGGGCGGCCATGGGAGAGATGGAGGATAAACTGGGCACGGTTATGACCGCATGCTTCAGGTTAGGGTACTTCCCACAGCTTTGGAAGGAGGCCAAGTTGGTCCTCCTTCCGAAGGAGGGAAAGCCGGCGGAGCTTCCCTCCAGCTACCGCCCTATTTGTTTACTGGACGAGGCGGGGAAGATCTTTGAGAGGGTGGTTACCTCTCGACTCGTGCGTAGCCTAGAGAACGGAGACGGGGAAGGCCTGCACAAGCACCAGTATGGGTTTAGAGAGGCAAGATCGACCGTAGACGCAATAAAGTGTGTGCGGTCGCACGTGGACGCGATAACCGAGGGGGGGGGAGTTGTCATGGCGGTGGCGCTCGACATATCAAACGCTTTCAACTCCCTCCCCCACGCCGCGATTAGAAGAGCCCTGCAAGGTAAAAGGGTCCCGGTATACCTGCGTAGGGTGATAGGTAAATATCTGGAGAACAGGTCGATATCGTGTATAGATGGGAGCGCGGCCAGGAGAGAATGGAGCGCAGAGAGCGGCGTCCCGCAGGGCTCGGTCCTGGGACCAGTCCTGTGGGACGTCGCATACGACGAAGTCCTTCGGACTGCCCTGCCCCCCGGCTGCACCATGATCTGTTACGCAGACGATACACTGGTGTTAGCCGGGGGGCGGGACTGGGGGGACGCCGTGCACACGGCAAACGTGGCCGTCGCGTGCGCGATACGCGCCATTAGGGCGCTCGGGCTGAACGTTGCGGCGCGGAAAACGGAAGCGGCGTTCATGCACGACGGGTCGCACGGGCCGTCTCCGGCAGCGCAGCTCGTAATAGACGATATGAGAATCGATGTGGGGACCCAAATAAAATATTTGGGTCTCCACATCGATGAGAGATGGAAGTTTGAGGGGCATATTACCAAATTGGCTCCCAGGCTGGGCATGGTGGCGAACTCGCTGTCACGGTTGATGCCCAACCTGGGAGGCCCCAGCGGACGAGTACGGAAACTGTACGCTAACGTCGTGCATTCCATTATGATGTACGGGGCCCCGATATGGGCGAAAGCGGTGCGCGGAAATAGGAAGGCCTCGGCAATACTGATCCAAGCACAAAGAAAGATGGCGGTCCGGGTAACGCGGAGTTACCGGACGGTGTCGCACGCTGCCGCGACGGTTATGGCGGGAATCCCCCCGGCAGATCTCCTCGCGGAGGCGTATACGAGGGCGTATGAGCGGATCGCTCGACTGAAGGAGGAAGGGACCCCAATAACGGGGCGAATCAGGAGACTGATCAACCTCCAGGAGAAGGAGGACCTGAGGGAGAGATGGAGGGTCCGGCTCGCCAGACCGAACTCTGCCGGGCGGCGCACGGTGCAAGCCATCCCCCCAAACCTGGATGCCTGGCTCGACCGAGCATGGGCCAGGTCATCGTACAGGACATCGCAAGTGCTGTCCGGGCATGGCTGCTTTGGGCAGTACTTGCACAGGATCAAGAAAGAACGGACACCTGTCTGCTGGCACTGTGGGGAAGCGACGGATACGCCGACCCACACGTTAGAGGACTGCCCGGCATGGGAGGTCCAAAGGACGACCCTCAAGGGAATAGTGGGAGACGACCTCTCACTTGAAGAGGTGGTGAGGGCCATCACGGAGGGAGAACCGGCGTGGAGGGCGTTCTCCTCCTTCTGCGAACAGGTAATGTCGCAGAAGGAGGAGGCGGAGCGCATCCGCAGGGGGGAGGCTGACCCCCCAGGGGCGCAGAAAGGAGGCGCTAGGGGACGAGGAAGGAGGAGAAGAGTCCCAGCGCACTTACGAACGGACTAACGAGGAGGGGTGGCGGCCCGTTGCGGGTAACCACCCCCCTCCCCGACGCGTTTTCAAGAAAACGCCGAGCGAAGGAGGGCAACGCGGTGATTAAGCCGTAACGAGCCCGCCGGAAGAAGAGGCGAGGGAGGGCCTACCATAGGCCCGCCAGCAGAGGCCGGTCTGACCGGCCCACCGAAGAAGCAGTCTGCCTGGGGGAGTGGGGGCGGGATTCGCGGGACGGCTGGCCCCTCCCCGAAAGGGGGGGCGTCAGTGCGCCTGCTACCTTTCCCCCCTCCCCCAGACTGGCACACCGATCGCAGGATCGAGAGGGGTGATTTCCCTGCATGGCGTCCGGGACCCGCCCACGAATAGGCCCGGGGTATCTCCTGCCTGTCGTAAGAGGCGACTAAAAGGAGAAAAAAACCTGGGAAGCAGGGAGATCCCAGGGGGCGGGTCAGGGGCTGAGGACCCCTGGCTCGCCCGCCCCCAACAACATCCAGGGGGCGCGGCGGGGACCCCGTGGCACCCCCGTCGCGACGCGTGTTGCGCGTCAGACGAACGCCCGAGCAAAACGGGCGTGGCTCAACCAGAGCCGAGACGGGCGCGCCAGTCAAAGGTGCGCGGCGCCGAGCAGGCCAGGAAGAGAATGCGTTGCAGTCCCCGGCCTGTTCGCCATGGCGCAAAGAAGTCCACCCCCGGTGGGTTTAGTGCGGTAGGCACCCTCCATTGCACGCTGGCCTTGGGTCGTCAATTGCCCGAGGTACAGGGAGGGCGATCCCACACACCCCCTCGTCCCGTCCCAGCGGGGCGAGGGGACGGTCCATGAGGATTCCCCCGGGTTACCCAAAAAAAAAAAAAAGGTTAGCCACCCCTCCCCCTCCCCCGAGGTGCGCCACCTTGTCGTGGTGGGGGAGCTTAGGCGGGCGTTCGGCTTGGAACCGTCTGTGTGCCGCTTTAGGCTCCGGCGGTTCCATTGGCTGGGCGTCCGCTGACCAAGAGCGTACCACCCCTCCCTCCAGTTAATGGGGGGAGGTATGGAGTCCGGCGACTCCGATCTCGGCTGCCTCGACAGTTATGTCGAGGCAGAACCGAGATCACTCGCCGGTAGAGGAGTCCCCTTTACCGGGTCCCACGGGTGTCTTCCCGGGGGAGCTCCGGGGGG